AACATCCCCAGATTTAGTCAATCTGCTTCCCACCCACCACCAAAAGAAATCTCAGCCCTTCTGTCCCTTACACATAGCTTCCCAGATTTTTGTTATGTAGAAGAAACAACTATTCAGGTATCAACTTAAGCCTGTAGTAGTCGAGCTCCTCGGCTGAAAAGCCAAAAGTCTGTCAACAGGTTTTTAGAGAGCACAGAAAAACAAGGGAGGTTTCTGTAAGGAACAGGTTAGAGAGCTCTATCCAAGAAGATGCATGCCAGACAGGGTGATGCGCCCACTGCGCTCATCCTTTGTGCTCTAGAGATTCTGCCACGCTTAGAAACAGTCAAAAGTCTTCCACAGACATCCTAGTTCACTCAAGACATTATTTAATGCTTCTGAGTCTGCATAAGAACCTCAAAACGAACAAATGAAAATGTAAAATGGAAGCATGGGTTAAGACACCTTAGACATGTAGCTGAGTCTTAGAAAAGAAGTAAGAAATTCATGGTATGAAATGGAGACACAGAAGCAGCATCGTTACACTTCAAGAGGGGTGATGAAGAAAAGAAAGGGAGAAATAAAGGATTCTCACACACATGAAGCGTGTATGGAAAAAGAAATACTGCTTATTTAAAACAGTGTTCTCCCATCACTCGCCCAGACACAGCTGGATGGATGTTTCCCTGTAGTTCATACATACAGATTAGAATAATTCTAAATACCTAAAGCCTTGAAAACCTGATTAAGCTTGTGGTTCAAAAGACGTTGTCAACTGCTACAGGAAATGTGAGAAGCGTGCTCTGGCAAATATGAAAATGAACTATTTGAGTTGTGTGGTCTGATGCTATTTAGGCATCCATCTCCTTGAAAGGGTTTATTTTTATTTTTTTTTTTTTAAATACTCAAAGATAAAACTCTAGAAAGCTGCTTTCCCACTAACTATACGTTAGAGATTTTGTTCCTTTAGCTACCCTCGGCCAAGAGAGTTAGCCTAAAACACTCACAAAAGCATTTATTTTGTTTCATTGACCAGGTATTATCTAACAATTCACTACAAAATGTGCTAACCAAGATGTTGGGTATTAAAACTCAATATTAAAAGGAAGACAGGTCTCTACAATCAAGTGACAAGTCAACTGCAAAAACACTTGATCCTTAATTTACTTAGAATTACTCCGTTAAAAAACAAACAAATGACCAACCACATACAGCATACAACAAATACAGATAATTTCCTAACTAAGATAAATCAGATTATGCCACTACACATATTGTGGCCCACAGCACACTGACTCTAGGAACAAACCAACCTCAATGGTTCTAGGCCCAAAAAAATCCACAGCCCTTGCTATTGCTTCCCAGGCTACATAAAAGCTACGCACATACAACAGGATTTTAAGCAAAAAGGACTCAAATTATAAGGCTTCCTAACCTATAGTGGAAGAAAATAATTAAATTCAGCTCTCAAATCCTACTGAAAGCCAGTGTGGATCTGCAAAAACATTTCATCTTCCACTTTGCATAGCAGTTTCCAGATTAAAAACTGTAAGAATCTTGCTTCTGATAGTGTTTTACAAACATTAACCACTTCAAATATTGCATACATATGTTCAAGTTTATTCAGTTTTCAACTGTTACAAACTATATGGACCTGCTTTCACGTAACTTCTACAAGTCAATTAAAACAGTCCTAGATTCACCACTCCATCTTTTGATTTACATAAGAATGGGTACGAAAGATAAATCTTGGAGCTGTAGGATATTTCATGTAAGAGAAATAGTGCCACCCATTAGTATCAATCTTAAACCCATGGTCTGTAAGGAAATGCATGGGTGCACTTCCACTTGTCAGTGAATTCTGACAAGGGTTTAAATCTTCACCTCAAGCCAAGGCAAATCTTACAACAGCAACTAGCATGAAGCAGTGTAACTGATACATCATTTTATTACTCAGAACAAAGTAATAAATGGCAAAAGGGATAGAGTATTTAGATCCAAGTCTACTAGTAGTAGTAACAAGTAAGTCCCATACACAGATTGGAAGAACTCCTAGTAAGAGTGATTTAGAAGGAAGATTCCTCACTGTTGTGCCCCTTCCACTCTCACCTGATGCCTCCCTTCCTCTGGAAAGCATCAGCAGGCTCTGCCCTGTCCTACTGGTCAGTGGCACACAAAGTTCCTGACCCAAAACCAGCCAACAGCTTGAGCCCCTTGAACTCGGGCACCAGATTTTCAAATATCCTCCTTCATCGCCTTACACTGGTGGGAGGTGTCCCTGCCCATGGCAGGGGGGTTGGAACTTGATCTTTAAAAGGTCCCTTCCAACCCAAACCATTCTGTGATTCTATGAAAACCACAGTCAGTGTATCAGTCTTTTACACCCCAGAGAAACACCCCAGTCAGCAGGCACAGCCTGTCCAACAAAAATCAAACAATCCTAGGAAGGCAAAAAAGAAAAGAGAGGGTAGGGAAAGACAAGTCACGCACATTTAACACGCGTTGCACACTTACTGGATCAACCTGCCATATAATAACGGTTGTGTCCTTAGATCCTGTTGCTAGTTTAGTGCCATCATTGGAGAATTTACAGAACCAGACTTCATTACAGTGCTCCGTTAGTATCTGCTGTGTATAGCATGGGAACTGTTTCCTGGGAAGAGAAAGGGATGTAGCCACAGATTAGTAAGAAAGCAGTAAGAGATTTTTTTAAAATCAAGCTAGTAAATACCAGAACAAAAACTTACTTAAATGCAAGACCAGATAACTTGGAACATTCCTCTAACAGCTGCTTCAAGTAAGTACAGAATGAAGTCCTAGCATGGGAACTGTTTCCTGGGAAGAGAAAGGGATGTAGTCACAGATTAATAAGAAAGCAGTAAGAGATTTTTTTAAAAATCAAGCTAGTAAATACCAAAACAAAAACTTACTTAAGTGCAAGACCAGATAACTTTGAACATTCCTCTAACAGCTACTTTGAGTAAGTACAGAATGAAGTCTTAACTGGTAAAAAGTTCACACCACCAAGTGAATCCCAACTAATTTTAAGAACTCAGAACTATTCCTATTCCACTCACATAATTTGTTACGCTTTCATAAAACTTGGAATAAAACTGACCTCATTAGGAGTGTAACAGGTTATTATTACACACTTCTATTTGGGGTGGTGTTTTTTTTTTATCTCTCAACCATAGAGCAGCAGCTTTTAACAAGCCTGACCTCTCTAGGAATGCCTTTGGAATATTCCAAACAGAGCTATACAAACTGAACAAGTACACATTACTAGTATTACACAAAAGCCTAGCATTTAGGTCTAGCGTATCAAATGAAAGTATTTTCATCTATTTGAAAGGTTTTAATGTAGATGTCACTCTGAAGGCTTAGCAAACAAAACAATCTTCCTCTATTCCTCCACTAAACCCTTACAAAACAAACTTTCTCTCTGACCTACCTGCTAGAATATCATCATGGAACCATGTGATAAATCAATTGTCTTCTGCTGAATCAGCTCATTTTGATCATATCACCTTTATAGATGCATATGTTCTGGTGGTCTTTACATTCCACTTAGGGTTTCAAGTGACTACACATCCAGGCTATTCATCAAACAACACAACTCACTCCCTGCCTAAACACTGGACCTACAAATTCTCTGAGAGAATCAAAGCCTAAACACAAACTAGTATTTTGGCGCTTGTCTGAAGGCCTGTATTTTGTTTTGGAAAAAAGTTAACTACGTTAAGGCAGAAGTCAATTCCCCTCTCATTTCCTTTCTAGTGATGCAAGCGTTAGAAAAAAGCCTGCCCAGCTGACGATGTATCTTAAGAGATCGTGACAACCTATTACTTTTTAAAAAAAGGCTATGACAATGTGATTTGTTATTTCAGTTCAGTTTGCTTGTTTGTGGCTGCTCTCTCAGGAGCCACATCTGCAAGAATTCAGTGTAAAGAGGCAACAGCTTCAACCTAAGAAAAGTGCCATCAGTTTCACCTACTGCCCAGTAGTTTTTAGAAAATGAAAATAATAAAAAAGAAATAAACAAACAGGGGCAAAAAGGACTGGTGCACTGTAGTATTTACAACTACACATGCACAAACACAAATCCTGAACTTTGGGGTACTCAGGTACCAAACAGGGAACCTTTTTCCACCATGAAGAGGTTCTCACTGGACTGGAGGTGCCATCCTTCAGCCACTATGTTCCACTGGGTCTGGTCACAGGGTGAAATTTGGTTTTATTTTAGACATATTTGGTATTTTCCAGAAAAGGATAGTAGTAAATGTCCTGGCCAACCTTATTTCCTAACAGCTGGGAGTTACATAGCACTAATAGTGATTGCTTACATACTCCAAGTGTAAATCTTAGCCCTACATAGGCTTGAATCTTAAGTGACCTCTGTAGGAGGTGATGGCACCGCATCAGTGGCAGAACTGAACCAATCATATAAACCCTTAACTAATTTCTATCCTTGCCATGGATGGTTGGATAAAAACATACTACAAAGCCTTTGATCACCAAGAAACCCTACCAGACTATGTCAACAACTGCTTAATTGGAGACTATGCTTAATTTGAGACTACTCTGTCCATAATTAAGATGATGACTCTATTGAAATTAAAATAACCTCACCACACCTATATCTTCAACAGGCAAATGAAGCTGTTATTCCCCAGAAGTAGTTTTGATTCAAACCATGAGCCTAAGTACCACACTGCAAAAAGAAAAAAGCCTCAAGAACACCCCACCCACTTCTAATTAAAACTGTGCAGGTGCTTTTGCTTAAGAGGAGCAACAAAAAGTGTCATTAATGCTTCCTAATACTACTGTCCTCTCGAAAGATTCTTTCTGCCAGCACACAATGATTTTATGAAGTATTCCACAATCTCAGTGCTTCTCAAACTTATTTAATGAACCAGTTGCTTGCTTTTATAGATGATAGTTGCTTAACAACAACATTATAGAAGTAAGGTACAGGAAGGATACAGCGTTCCAGTTTTCTGCACAAAGGGGAATGATGTTACCTTCACTGCCACTCGCAATGAAATCTTCATTATGACCTCCAAAACACGAGTGAATTGTGTAAAATCCTTGTGTAACACCTTGATACTTTCTCACTAAAACTCTGTCTTGTAAGTCCCATAAGTGAACTCCCTGGGAATAAGTAGTATAAAGAATGTTATTTTACCATTAAACATTATTAATTGCATTTTTTTAAGTGCTAAAAAAAATTAGACATGAAAGTGCATTACTTTAGCTAACTTCAGTACTGTTAATGGATCAAAAGAATAAAGATATATCAAATTACTAGACTGAACTTCTAATCTGCAGCCCCTTCTGTTCTGAAAGCTCCTAGTCTTACCCAAGGTTCCAAAAGTAGAAATAAATAAGTAAAATCTAATTCTCACACCCCCCAGACATTTCAACCTGCCACAACTCTGGCTGTACCCGGCTTCTCAGTGCAATAGCCAGATATTAACATTTAATAGTACATATTTCATAGTATGAAACTCTTGACTATAAATCAGTCAAAAAAAGAGTCTCAAGAGTAAGATTGCCTTCTTGTCAGAGAAGGCCATGCCATACTTACCAATGCTAAGGCCTTCCTATTACATGAAATACAACTGGTTAATATCAGACATTCCAATTAGCATCTAAATATTTAAAAACAGGTAGCACTTGCAAGCAGACTCGTTTACATTTCCATTTATCACCCCCAACTCACCTGAGTTGCTACATTTAACAAAGCTAAGCGGCCATTTTTTGAAATAGTAAACGACATAATAGGGTGATCTTCTTGTACTCTGAAACGATAAGACACATCGGCATTAAGACTTCATCAAATGATGCAACACCAAGACAAAAGGCGTGTCCTGTCTCTGCAACATTATGGCGGAAGACAGTTCTGAATTTGGAATTAGGAATGTCTCTGTGTGTCAGTACAAACCAGGTCTGCAATTGTTTGCTCACACAACAAATCCCAACACCAAAAGGGACTTCAGACCTCAAATCCAACCTCTAACTTCAAGGAAGGATCTACTAAAATATGCCAGGAATCGAGATGAAGATAACTCTTGGTAACAGAAACATCAAAACACACACCAGAAATGTACTCGGGTGCTTATATGAAGTTATTTCTAATATTTGATCGAATGCTTCTTGCTACAACTGGAGGTCACTAACTCTTGTCCCATGTTGTTCTCCTTTTAATATTGAGAGCATTTTAATAACATTTCCCATCCTGGTCCACCAACCCTTCCTCAACCTTCTTCTGACACCCAGAACCAGCAGTTCAAAGCCAAAAAAAGAAGTAGTTACATGTTCCTGTCTGTAAGATCCTCGAAGTTATAACCCCGAATTCGCTGGTGTGTGTCCGACGCTAGAACGGTTTTCCCATCACTCAAGCACCAAAGGCATTGTACTCTCACCCCTTCCCAGGAGTCGAGGAGATTACCATCTAAATCCTGGTCAGGAGAGAGAGGAAAAAAAACCAAACCAAAACAAAAAACCTGTTAGTCTCAAATTTTGAGTTGTGACAAGAGTATATTTTGCTCCTTCTGTTCAGACTGCTACAGAAAGCAGTTTTACCCTGTAAACTTAATGAATTAGGGCCCTGGTTGTCTTAACCAAGAGCTTTGCTAGGTGTCTGTCCTGGAGAATGCCTTTCATCACTTATTTTTTTGTGCATGACACGTGCAATCTGCGTCAGGTGACAGAGCTCCCCTTTGCAGTGAGTGAAGTTTGTGCACCATGCTACTATTATTCACCAATTCTGATGACAAATAATCAAAGTAGGGTGAGACCGTGGGCCACCATCCAAAACCAACACTAGCCATGGAATGAGGTTTCAAATTTCTGTTTACATTAAGCAAAGACAACATGCAAAAACTAAGGAAGACATAGTAAAAAAAAAACAACAAAAACCAAAAGACAACCTGTGGAATAAACAACATCTGTGGACAAAGGCATTACTTTTTATTAATGTATTTTCTAAAGCAGCTAAGAAAAAAATTCCCAGTCCACAAACCCTCCTTTAGGCAGAGGAATCCCTCTACACTTGCTTGAATGCCTCTAACTGCTACAAACAGAAGTGCTGCTGAAATAATAGCATTAATGTATTGCTTCTTTGAATTACAAAGGATCAGAAGCTTTAGTGTATGCACACATGAAAAAAACATGAACCTCAGATATGACTGTGATAGAACCCCTTCTTGCTTTGTTTTCAAGGGTAAAATGCAGAGAACTTACACACTGATAGAACTGCCCGCGCTGACCTCCCGTTACAAAACGCTTCCCATCAGGATTCCAGGCCACGCTGGTTAAACTGTCTTCATGAGACTGGCTCATCTTTGTCCTCAGCTCCCCAGTCTGGAAAAATCAACAAAAAGCAGCAAGGCCTTGTATCAGAACCCCTTCCCAAAAAGGCATCGGTAACTTTATCTGACGTGGATAGTGTTTGGAAGTGCATTATTTCAACAACCTATGAATAATGCAATAAAAAGGCAGACCTACTGCAGCATCTCCAGTAAACCCAAACTTGACTTGGGACAATTTCTTTTGTCCCTCAAATCAGGAGAGATGGAGTAAACTGTGTGTCAGACAATTGGAAGATTATGAGTAAAAAGAGGAATTAAAAGAAGTTGGAAGAAGATGTAAGAGATGAGCAATATGAAAAGAAAGCAAACAAACATGGAAAGCAAGGAGGTAGGAGGAAACCAAAAGAAAATGGAGATGACAAAATACATTTTAGTAAAAAGTTGGAATATTTAGAACATTTTCCTCCCTGAGCTGGAGCTCTCCAAACCAAAATTTAGCTTTCATCCCCATCTTATAACACTACTCTTTCACACAATAGAGCGCCAGTAAACGGCTTACCATTGTCAAAACAGTAAGGGCTTCCCTTTACTCCCTTGTGCCAGCTCTAGTGCCCTTCTCTGGGCCAATTTAATCAACTAAATAGAAGAAAAGTATTGAAAGGGTGAAAAAAGGAAACGTTTTTGGTTTAGGAAACTAAATTAGCTTGGAGTCCAAGACAGCAGAAGAAAGACTATATAAACCACAATGGAGGTGGAGGAAGCTCCTACATCAACTCAAGTGCCTATTAAAAAAAAAAAAATAAAAACCAATAGCAGAAAAGGGGTTTCAAACTCATGAGGACTTGCTCCCTGTAGATGCTAATTGTGCCCTCTGTTTCTCTTGATTAGTTTACTCTGTTCATCCCTTCAGTAGTTCTCTAGGGTCCTTTGGATTTACACCATCCCTTCTCAGAAATGATCAGTAACCAGACACACTGGAATTGCTGCACAGCTCCAGACACTTAGACTTGAACTCCAATTTCAGTTCTGTACAGAGTCCAGAATTTGTAGGCTGCTACAGTCTGTTTTTCAAGTTAGGGGGAAAAAAAAAAAAAAGAAAAAGATCTTTCTGTCTTCCCTACACAATCACACTTTTGTATAACAAGTCTGTAGAAGTGACTTCCTTCAGGCTTAACGTATTTAAGTATCGAAACAAAAGCAGTAGGCTGACCACAAAGTCTTATTTTTGACTCTTAGTCACCACTTACTTGTACATTCCAGAGCCAAAGCTCAGAACAATCATCCGGGCCACAGGCAACAAGGTAGTTGTCATCTGGACTCCAAGCAATGTAAGAGACACCATACGCATGACCTTCTAACGTCTTAAGTAGTTTTAGCTGGTGAGTATCCTGAAACAAGAGAGATTCTGTTAAGACAATGCAAATAAACTACTACATTTCACATACACAGTGTGTCCAAGCCCAACACAGCAAGTTTGCTTTATGCAACTCAGCACCTGCATTTTACAAGACGTATGAATAAGTTCTTAGTGGAAAAGCAGTTGGCATTTCACAGAGTAGAAACATAAAATGAAAGCTTCTGAGTTTCAACATGCAAGACACAATCACTTGTGGACAATTTTGTTCTAATCTTCTGTGATTCTGAATGTGGATCTCTCAAAATACAGAGTTGTACATTATATTACACTTGTTTCAGCATAGAAGATTTCTGTAGTGTCAAGTCTCTCTCCATCTACTGGTACACAAAAGTACTATTATCCATATTTACACAACTAAGTTACTTTCTTAAAAGTAAAGATGTGTGGAAGCCTGTTGAACAGAGAACCAAAACCTTTATGCACACTAAGAAGGGAAAAACCTCCCAGTGCCAATGTTTCTATAAACTTGAGTATATTTTGTGTGCTGCTCAAGAAAAGTTTTACAGAAAGATATTTTTAAAATCTTCCTTGAGAGGTGTTCTTATTTCCCAAGTGCTGCCTACAGCAAGCTGTTGTATCTTTTCTGCCAGATTTAGTGAATGAAGCTCACTCTGCTCACACAGAGTACCTTGTATCACCTTTATGCTACAAGTGTTCTACTGCTGCCTTGTCAGAGGAACTTAATTTAGCAGCAGCGTATCAAAATAAAGATTAGGGTTAGATGCTGTGAAATAGCCACATGCTGGCTTCCTAAATACAGAAACCTGCTTCATTACAATATTAGTACTGACTTGTGACAGAAACATGCACATACAGAAAGTAGAACCAAGCTTGGTAAAACATTGACAATTTTTGTGAAGCCTGTTGGAAAAGGGCAAGTGGATTTTCCTCCCTTCTTCCCCTTACACCCTTCCCTGCACTGAGGAGGTTTACACCCCCTACTTATCTTCCAAAAGAGTGACCCACTTGAAAAATCTAGCTTGGTTTCTCACATTGTCCCTTCACTATCTTTTGTTTTAATCGGCAGAGCACCTCTTGATTCTAAAGAGAAAGAACACGGTCAGAGAGAGTGTGACACAAAGAACTGTTTTCCTGGGGACCAGGTAAGAAGGATGCAGTGACTCTCAGCCAGCCTGCAGCTCAGAAGGTTCTGTTAGCTAGAAAAACTACATTCCCCAAAAGAAAAGTGGGCTAAGAATAATCTTCAAAGCACAGAGCAAGAGGGGCAAACAAATGGACCTCCTCAAGTCCCCTGTCCCATTTTAATTATTATTCCTGGTCTGTATTAGACATTCCTGCGTCTGTTGCTAAACAGATCTGTGCAGAAACAGAGTCACATCTGGACATCATCTCACATCACTGAGAGTACCTGCAACGGATGGGTTTCTTTTTACACCAGGATTAAGTAGCCTGGCCCTTCCACATCACATTTGATATTCCTCTTCTAATGATAGTACTTTGTGGCTGTTACTATCTCTTGCTCTGCTCTCATAATTCTCTCCAAACAGAGAAAAGCTGCTACACCATGTTTTGCTCTCGAACAGCAGTTGATGGTATTTCAGGAAAACATCCCCAGATTTAGTCAATCTGCTTCCCACCCACCACCAAAAGAAATCTCAGCCCTTCTGTCCCTTACACATAGCTTCCCAGATTTTTGTTATGTAGAAGAAACAACTATTCAGGTATCAACTTAAGCCTGTAGTAGTCGAGCTCCTCGGCTGAAAAGCCAAAAGTCTGTCAACAGGTTTTTAGAGAGCACAGAAAAACAAGGGAGGTTTCTGTAAGGAACAGGTTAGAGAGCTCTATCCAAGAAGATGCATGCCAGACAGGGTGATGCGCCCACTGCGCTCATCCTTTGTGCTCTAGAGATTCTGCCACGCTTAGAAACAGTCAAAAGTCTTCCACAGACATCCTAGTTCACTCAAGACATTATTTAATGCTTCTGAGTCTGCATAAGAACCTCAAAACGAACAAATGAAAATGTAAAATGGAAGCATGGGTTAAGACACCTTAGACATGTAGCTGAGTCTTAGAAAAGAAGTAAGAAATTCATGGTATGAAATGGAGACACAGAAGCAGCATCGTTACACTTCAAGAGGGGTGATGAAGAAAAGAAAGGGAGAAATAAAGGATTCTCACACACATGAAGCGTGTATGGAAAAAGAAATACTGCTTATTTAAAACAGTGTTCTCCCATCACTCGCCCAGACACAGCTGGATGGATGTTTCCCTGTAGTTCATACATACAGATTAGAATAATTCTAAATACCTAAAGCCTTGAAAACCTGATTAAGCTTGTGGTTCAAAAGACGTTGTCAACTGCTACAGGAAATGTGAGAAGCGTGCTCTGGCAAATATGAAAATGAACTATTTGAGTTGTGTGGTCTGATGCTATTTAGGCATCCATCTCCTTGAAAGGGTTTATTTTTATTTTTTTTTTTTTAAATACTCAAAGATAAAACTCTAGAAAGCTGCTTTCCCACTAACTATACGTTAGAGATTTTGTTCCTTTAGCTACCCTCGGCCAAGAGAGTTAGCCTAAAACACTCACAAAAGCATTTATTTTGTTTCATTGACCAGGTATTATCTAACAATTCACTACAAAATGTGCTAACCAAGATGTTGGGTATTAAAACTCAATATTAAAAGGAAGACAGGTCTCTACAATCAAGTGACAAGTCAACTGCAAAAACACTTGATCCTTAATTTACTTAGAATTACTCCGTTAAAAAACAAACAAATGACCAACCACATACAGCATACAACAAATACAGATAATTTCCTAACTAAGATAAATCAGATTATGCCACTACACATATTGTGGCCCACAGCACACTGACTCTAGGAACAAACCAACCTCAATGGTTCTAGGCCCAAAAAAATCCACAGCCCTTGCTATTGCTTCCCAGGCTACATAAAAGCTACGCACATACAACAGGATTTTAAGCAAAAAGGACTCAAATTATAAGGCTTCCTAACCTATAGTGGAAGAAAATAATTAAATTCAGCTCTCAAATCCTACTGAAAGCCAGTGTGGATCTGCAAAAACATTTCATCTTCCACTTTGCATAGCAGTTTCCAGATTAAAAACTGTAAGAATCTTGCTTCTGATAGTGTTTTACAAACATTAACCACTTCAAATATTGCATACATATGTTCAAGTTTATTCAGTTTTCAACTGTTACAAACTATATGGACCTGCTTTCACGTAACTTCTACAAGTCAATTAAAACAGTCCTAGATTCACCACTCCATCTTTTGATTTACATAAGAATGGGTACGAAAGATAAATCTTGGAGCTGTAGGATATTTCATGTAAGAGAAATAGTGCCACCCATTAGTATCAATCTTAAACCCATGGTCTGTAAGGAAATGCATGGGTGCACTTCCACTTGTCAGTGAATTCTGACAAGGGTTTAAATCTTCACCTCAAGCCAAGGCAAATCTTACAACAGCAACTAGCATGAAGCAGTGTAACTGATACATCATTTTATTACTCAGAACAAAGTAATAAATGGCAAAAGGGATAGAGTATTTAGATCCAAGTGTACTAGTAGTAGTAACAAGTAAGTCCCATACACAGATTGGAAGAACTCCTAGTAAGAGTGATTTAGAAGGAAGATTCCTCACTGTTGTGCCCCTTCCACTCTCACCTGATGCCTCCCTTCCTCTGGAAAGCATCAGCAGGCTCTGCCCTGTCCTACTGGTCAGTGGCATACAAAGTTCCTGACCCAAAACCAGCCAACAGCTTGAGCCCCTTGAACTCGGGCACCAGATTTTCAAATATCCTCCTTCATCGCCTTACACTGGTGGGAGGTGTCCCTGCCCATGGCAGGGGGGTTGGAACTTGATCTTTAAAAGGTCCCTTCCAACCCAAACCATTCTGTGATTCTATGAAAACCACAGTCAGTGTATCAGTCTTTTACACCCCAGAGAAACACCCCAGTCAGCAGGCACAGCCTGTCCAACAAAAATCAAACAATCCTAGGAAGGCAAAAAAGAAAAGAGAGGGTAGGGAAAGACAAGTCACGCACATTTAACACGCGTTGCACACTTACTGGATCAACCTGCCATATAATAACGGTTGTGTCCTTAGATCCTGTTGCTAGTTTAGTGCCATCATTGGAGAATTTACAGAACCAGACTTCATTACAGTGCTCCGTTAGTATCTGCTGTGTATAGCATGGGAACTGTTTCCTGGGAAGAGAAAGGGATGTAGCCACAGATTAGTAAGAAAGCAGTAAGAGATTTTTTTAAAATCAAGCTAGTAAATACCAGAACAAAAACTTACTTAAATGCAAGACCAGATAACTTGGAACATTCCTCTAACAGCTGCTTCAAGTAAGTACAGAATGAAGTCCTAACTGGTAAAAAGTTCACACCACCAAGTGAATCCCAACTAATTTTAAGAACTCAGAACTATTCCTATTCCACTCACATAATTTGTTACGCTTTCATAAAACTTGGAATAAAACTGACCTCATTAGGAGTGCAACAGGTTATTACTATACACTTCCATAATGCACAGGAAAATACTGGAGTCCAAACCTCTTTGAACCCTATGCACAAAGTTTTCTTTACACGTGAGGTTTCTGTAAGCACTTAACTCAGTCATATCTTGCCAAGCCTTTAGAAGGGATTCTTAAATAAAAGTGGAGTAAAAGAATAGTCTTATTTTTCTCGAATGCAATGTTACAATACGATAGGTGTTTCTTTGCCTTCATTTTGTGCCACTTTTCTTGTGGTACCACACACAGCATCTAACCATAACTAACGATACCATTATGAGCTTTCCAGTTGAACTGTTTTCCCTCACAAAATCTATGTTATTTTGTAAAACATTAAGTGTTTATGAAACAAAATATTATATGATAAACTACTGAAGGAGAAGAGTCAAACATTTCTCTAGAGCTAATATTTAATCTTCTAGTTACATACTGAGGAAAAGCTAATAGTCAAAATATGAAGTTAGGCAAGAACTGGGGACAAATTTATTTTATTTATAGTTTGCCCACTGCATAAGAATTTGAGAGCTAAGATAAAATAAATGTAGGCTTTTACAGTACATGACTGTTTTTGTAAGTAATACTGCAGTTAATGACAAGTTCGCTGTTCAGATGCACCAAAAGCAGTCTCTAACCACCGAGGTTTTTCCTTGAACTGCAGGGATCCTGCAGTGCTTTAGTCGTATGCTGAGTTTTTATGGTGCTCAGTGCAACAGGGCAACACAACTCTAATGGGACACAGTGACACTAACAACAAAAGTCTCTGTGCGTGTACAGTTGTACTTATCACTGGAGATAAACTGGCCTAAAAAACCAACACATAATTCCTTTATATTGGTGTTTAAAAATGCAGTTTAGTGATAGCCAGGCTGACAGACACACACAACTCTAATGGGACACAGTGACACTAATGTAACAACAAAAGTTTCTGTGCATGTACAGTTGTACTTATCGCTGGAGATAAACTGGCCAAAAAACCAACACCCTACTTCCTTTGTATTGGTGTTTAAAAATGCAGTTTGGTGGTAGCCAGACTGACGTACATCTGAAAAACTACTTCTTACCAGAAGGTAGAAAAAGTTCTGCTTAATACAGTGACTATACCCTCTCAATCCATTTTCTTATGCTGTCCATGTTTGAAGACTATCGAGCAGCACTGAACGAAGGTAGAAAAAGTTCTGCTTAATACAGTGTCTATATCCTCTCAATCCATTTTCTTATACTGGAAGATACTTCCCAGCCCATGTTTGAAGACTATCGAGCAGCACTAAATGACCATACATCCCTCATTTCCTGCCTTATGGCAGAGGAGGATAAAGAAAAAGTACATGTACACATCCATATCTGTCATTGGCTTCCTTGGGGATGTCTGCTGTTCTGCTCCTGCTCAAAGCTGACCAGAAGCTCTCTAGCTGCCACTAGAACAACACTGAACCCAAGGTATAAAGCCCCACCCATGAAAGAAGACTTTGTTTTCCTTGAAGTCTAGAGGGAAGTAGGCAAGCCCTTACACAGGTATGTGCACCTACAGGAAGAGTGTTTCGTTATTATTTAGCCATATTGTCGTAAGTTAATGTTTCTCCTCGGAGCAGCAGTTTGCTCTAGAAGGTGAAAGAGACTTTATCCATAACTCATACAAAGTACAAGGGGCACACTGTGTCCCAGAAGAGCCCTTTTAGTATCTTTCATTTAAAAAAAAAAAAAAATACTGTATAGAACAATAGCTCTTGTATTTTAAAACTTTAAAAAAATAGCCAAGGTTCTGCAGAATGCAACATGAAAAGCAAGCAGTATAATGCTGAAGTACACAATTTTCATAATAAGGTGGTCTTTAGATTCCTAAAAAGGGTAACAGGCACAGGTGATAGAGCTGCTGCAGACGTCCCAATACTGAATACTATTATTATATTTGAAATCCAGTCAGATCAGAGTACTCTTACAAGAAGTTCTCTTCACTTAACTAATGAAACATACAGTCCAGCATGTTTGACTCCACAGATAGCAAAGCATACGTTAAATAACACTTCTGCAAAAGGAAATAGCAGCAGACTCGAAACAAGAAACCAAAACCAGTTGTCTAACAGTTTCTGGGTTCGGTAATTAGATATTATTGTAGCTCAAAAGTTTTTCTTTCCTTTTTTGAAGTGTTTCACTACAAATTGTTCTGTTCAGCACAATACACTTGAGCCATGTTGTTCACATACTGAAATAAAGTTTCTAATAAAGCTATCTCTTGTTGTATTTACAAAGTTCAAAATCATAAATCAAACATCAAACAGCTCCTTTTTTATTCCCCATACATAGAGTGGAAGATCTATTCCTCAACTCCCATAATAGTTCTTTGTCAACAACACTACATTAAGCTAGTACCTAGAAAGCAGCAGCATTCACCTCTCATTTAGGCTTCACTGTTTCTTTGTAAACTCAGACTAAAGTTTATTTACATCAAAGACAAAAGAATTCTGAGGGGGGAGGAACCAAACAAAACCCAACTAGGCTGAAGGCTCTCAAAACAAAAAATGACCACCCCCAAGAGCATCGACTCTCTATTATCAAAATCTCAGGCACAATAAGATGAAATCCCTCACCTTCACTCCCAGCAGTTTCTCCCTCTTATCTCCCAATCTTACAAAGTGATTAAGTTTTAGTTAAATATTCTACCTATTAGTGCAATTCAAGCATGCCGGATCAAAATATTGCCAGAGGTCCAAAACAGATTAGTTCCAAATAAAAAAGGGAAAGTTATCAGTGTTCCATCATTTAAGTATCACAGAACTTAAATCGTCTAAACTAGTAGACTACTGTTACTTCTGTCAGTTTAATCCAAATTTGGCTTCCACTGTCTTTAACTCACCTCATCATGCCCAAGCATGGCAGCATGTACAGCGCACCACATACTGATCTCAGACCCCTGCAATAGGTAGGTACAACAGGTTGAGTTGCAGACAGGATGGAAGCCTTTGTTTTGAAGTGGGTTTGGTTTTTTTGACATTAAAGTAGTCACAAGTATGTATGTATATATACATACCAAATATGCAAGCTTAGGAAGTACCACATTAAGTGGGAAATAAAATAAATACAAGCACACCACCTATGGCCAAACTTATGTCAACAAATAGATTCAGAGAGGCGACATTCAAGTCTGCATATAATATCTTTTATATCTAGCTTTATCTAGTCCAACTTCAGTAAACCATGTTCTTTACGGGCTTGAAAGCTCGTCGGGGTTTGAGGAATCACAAAACCCCACTAAACATCCAATGTTATTTATGGACTTGTAGAAAGACTGAAATGAAATCTTTTTCCCATTAGTCAGATTTTAAGACTCACTTCTGAAGCAGGGAAGCCACAATTCCAGTATCTGATCATATCCAATAGCTCTTAAAAATGGGCGCGCACACACATGAAACTGCTGCAACAATGTGATGTAGCAGAATTGCAAGCTAGGCAATAGTCTAAAAAAGTTACCTGAATACATGAAGCGCCAAGGATATTAATTTTAAAACCTTAACACGGCTACAGCAAAGTACTATGGAAGTCTGCATCTTTAAAAACAGATTCCAAGTAACCCAAGAACGTAAGGCAAAGCAGCTGAGTTCAGAAAGTTTCTGTAAGTGCGTTTATCAGTACTTGACTTCCTCAGATGAGCTATTTCTAACATGAAAACAAAAATTCCCCAGTAAGCCCAAGGGTTGGGTCTTTTACATGAACAAACATACAATGGTATCATATATTTTATAGGTGTCCTAGCCATCATTCCACACACAGTTTTCCATAAAAGCTACACTGAGTTTTTAGGTCATTGGCCAAGTTCTGCTGGATGAGGAAGAAACCACTAAAGTCAGCCATTTGTTATAAACAAACATCTTCCTGCTTCACATCTACTGCAGAATGGCATCCTGATGATTCAGAATCAGCATTAGTTTTGTTAAAAGTTATCCAGGTAGCCTTAAGAGCTAATACAGAGGTGTAAGAGACATTCAATTCTTACTACCTTAAAAACCGGAGAAAATAGTTCTTTATAGCATTCATATTACACATTATGTAAAACAGAAATGTTGATTGCACACTTCTACTCTGTTTTAACATTTGTGTCTAGAAGCACCTCACTGTCCACTGTTAGAAACTGAAGCTGAAAGTCAACTTCATGAAGCATGCCTCAGTAGGCTTCCTGCATTCCAGCAAGCTTGAAGACAGTCTGGATAAGTCACATACTAGTGATTCTCCAGTGAAAAAAACTTAGCAAACATGTATTGATGAATAAACAGACTGACTGTCCAAAATTACAAGAAACAAGTGGCTAAGGATTAGCCTAGTAACATATTCTATTCATATCCATCTGATTAAAATTTTAAAGCTTCAGTCTGACTCCATTGCCCCATATCCAGCTACCAAAGTCTTATACACACCTTCTCTCCTCCCCCCCTCCCTACTTATTTAATGAGAATGTCTTTTCCCAGTCAACTCGTGTTAAACCAACTCAGAATAGTTGTCATGTTCCTATGTAGGTACGATTATTTTAAAAGACAAAGAAAAGATACCGTTGCCCATCTTAGAAGTAGCAAGGGTTTCTTACCTACTACAAACATGATCTATTAGCAGCGAGACAGAATCTAGATTACTATCTAGTTTGGTATTATGGTATAGGCACCGGTCCCGTTGTAGTTCCACAGCCTGACGTAGCAGGTTCTGTAAACGCCTTGGAGGAAGCATCACTGATGGGGGTAGGTATGCTTTAAAAGAGTAATTAAGAAAAACAAAAAAGATATATCAAGACCAAATTACAAGTAACAGCGTATTTGATTTGAGTGTTTTTGGAAGAGACCTTAGTAAATAAAAACTTAGAAGCTACAGGAAAAGAATGCACACAGCTCAACAAATTTACAGCTATACAGCTGGAATTAGAAGCATGAACTTCCAGAGACTGGAACCATATGAAAAGTTTTTGTAGTCACAGTATCTGTTGTCCTGGCCAACAAGTACCATTTACACAAGCTAAGTCAAAACCCACCATTTAACAAAATATTTACCATCATAAAACAACACCATCATCTGTGTTTAAGGAATTCTCTATTAACACTATCAAAATATAGAATACCATGGGTTTTACAACTCTGATATGTAGTATTACACCAGCCACAAGAGAGAGAGGAAGAGCCATAATTCATACCAAGGTCTGAGACCACTATGAACCAGTACTAGTGTCACTAGTGGTTACAGGTCACTCTTAATTTCAACCTCTCAGTAGAGCTGGCATTTACAGAACAATCTACCCCACTCTGATGCTCCATTTTATCACCAAGTTACACTATTATTGCATGCAGCAGAACTAAGAAATAAGAGCTCCGGTTACAAATAGTTTATCAGAGAAGGCAAAAGGTTAGATACAAAAGACCAAAGGGTAAAGGCACCTAAAGACATCCCCATTAAGCAAGACATACAAAAACAGCCACCAGCAAATGCAGTTAAAGTAAATTCCCTGGGATACGCCATTACGCAAGATGTACTGGATTTACAGAGGTGAGAATAAATTCTAAACACTAGAACATCTTACTCTGGAGTTTGTCCAAAAGTTTAGATCTGGAAGCTGTTCCTTTCCCTTCCCACTCTGCTTTTGCCCGCAAGTCTTCTGCATGGCTACACATCAGATACCTGTTTAAAAAATAAAGTGCACACACACCAACAGACCAAGTCTTTTTGGAATCATTCTTTTCACTTTTAAGTATGATATATATCATAACATTCTTAATGAACTGGCAACAGGTCACTTAGGCTTGAGATTGACAGGAAAAAAAGGCAAGGAACTGTTCCACACAAACACACATCATCTTCAGAAGAAATGTCTACAAATAGGCAATAGAAAAAGTAAACAAAACAGACAGATTTTAGGGAAGGAAGAAATGTCTTATTTTCATCTAAGAACAAGGCAGACTATATTCACTTAACTATTCATTTATAAGAAAGCAGTTAATAATTCTCAAGATCAGATAACTATGCACATGTATGTATTAATTTGGGTTCTAGTATTATAAAAAGAAATCATAACCATGTTGTTTTCAAGCATCTGAAACAGAACATTGTTTACCCAATACTCTTCTTTACTCACCAATTTAGCATCTCTCACTACAGCTCACTGTAGGATAATGGCTTTAATAGTGTTCGAGTTTCTACAGTGTCAGCTATCAAAAGCTACAGAATTCCTCAGAAAATCCCACCACAAGAGCTCTCAGAGTCCAAACACTTACCCACTGAGGACATGAATGCGTTCTGTATTGTATTTCAGAGGCGTCAGTTCACAGCGTAGAACCTGAAGTGCCTCCAGGACCTTGCCATCCTCCAGGTATTCCAGGTACTTCTGCTGCAGCAGCAAAAACTTCATCCTCTGACATGACAGAAAGCAGCAGTCAGGGGAAAAAGGTTGACTGAAGTTTCAGAAAACGTTTGAGCCTAAACAGAACAGTAGAAACCATTCTACTATGCCCTTCAAAAATGCAGCTATATGTAATGTTTTATTACTCATTTTCTTTTTGCTGGATTTTTCAACAACAGCACAGCAATTAAGTCACCCATGAATTTCCTTCCTGCCTTATGGGCTCCAACTGTCTTCCTATCTCATTTCTCAAATCCCCCTTTCAACTTGGCTCACTTTCACACTCCCTTTTCAGTCACTGTTCTTCAAACCCTGAACTAGGTGAGCTTCCCAATTTTACACTCCATTAAGAAAAGCACCCAAAAAGCAGCTAAATCACATACTTAGGGGTGCAGCACAGCACACAACAGGCCAACTCGACAAGTTCTTGTACTGCTTACACAGGAGCTAACAGAGATTGTTTGCACAGCTGCATAACATACACCAAGAACAAATTGACACTGCCCCAGGTTTTGTTTTGTAGTCCCATGTGAAGTTGTTTTCCTTGGGTGTTGTATCATTTTTCAGGATTACAGAAAAAAAAAATAGCTTCCTATATTTAGAAATCACTTCTCAGAAGTAATCACTGCTATTTCATAGTGTTCCTGTCATCTTGTACAGTTTTTGGTTGTTTACTTTTATCAAGCCTGCTATTCCAACAACTGTTTGTGGATTAAAAAAGCATTCATTTACTATATTCAAAAACCTGAAGTCCAAGAAATTTTTCATATCAATTTATTAGAAACACAGTTTGTTGTATCTGGATGAAACCAACTATTCTGTGTTTACACATCATCTTTACTGTTAGCAGTCACTAGAGAGAAAAGTACTTTCTGGTCCACGAGACTCACCAGGTTAAAGAGAAAAATGTGAATTCTCAACACATGTCACTGAGAAACAGAATGAAGACTAAACGTAGCAAATTACATTTGCTTTTCTAATGAATACACCACCAGTTCAATCACTGGTTGCCTTTGCCTTGTCAGACCTCCAGCACCTCACTATTTTCATGCTCATATTTGGTCAATGTTTACTCTGTTTCAAACACACTGCAAGCCTCCTGAAGCAGAGGGATGGATAATCAGGAAGTTTAAGATGCTCCTGTCCTATTGAAGCTTCCATGAAAGTTTAAGGCTTACTGTATGTAAAATCCAAAGTTAAAGCAAAAAGCAGTTTTAGTTTTCAGAGATGTTCAGTTCTTCAAAAGGGTAAAGTTTCAGTGCCATACAGTGCCATTAACTCACCACACACAGCTTTGTGAAGCATAAAACATCACACAATAAAGGTGATTTATGCTCTAACACATCAGTGGTACTCTTGTCCTGTACAGGACAGGCAAACCCGTATTACATTCCCTACCCAGTTCCTTAGTTTATTTGGATTTGGAATTATTAGAGCATCACTGTGTGTTTTTTCCAGGTGAGACAACATTTTCTTGGTGTTCTGACATGTAAACACCCAAAAGAAAGATATCCCCATGATTTACAGGCCTGGTGGCTGGTTCTATAGAGAAAGCCAGAGTTCATGCTGTTGGCTTATATACGAGCAGCAGGAGGGATAAGAGCTTCCTCTCTCAGCCTATGCCCATGGCATGTATCACACCTCACACTGATGATCACCATCTGATTAAAAATGAAATAAATAATCTGATATTTCCACTTTGTAATAAAACCCATAATCCCTCCAACTCTTCCTTCTCCATTCACTGCATCTAATATTTAATAAAATTATATCATCTTTCCCTTAAATGTGATAACCGTATCTGTAACTAATTACTGTCTACTTTTAGGACTTGGCATGTTAATTTCATTTCTTTAGGGGAAAAAGTTAAAAGTGCAGAAAACAGTTTTTGCAACACTGGTCCTAACAATTCCACGGAAGCATTACAGGAACGCTACCATGCAGAATGCTGCTGCCAAGTTATCCAAAGACGTATAACTTCAGAAAGTATAATTTAAAAAATAAGTCAGTGTCATGTGAGACTTTGGCATATTAGGAATATAAAAGCCTTCCGAACCACACAGCACTGCACACTTCATGCAGGAGTCTACTGTTAACATAATGGAGAATTAGTATAAGAGATAAGCAGTTTGAAATTTTAACTTATCTATAGCAAAAGGCAGGGACTACAGCAAAGTGTTGACAGGGAAATGAAATTGATTTTCTAAGCTATTTTGATAGCTGCTCCAAAACTTGCCCTACAGCATACTCAAACAATGGCATGAATACAACCTCCTTAAGGCAAAAGTCACACTCCAGTGACATTGCATTTCAAGTAATTTTTTCCTATCAGGACACTCAGGGCCTCCTGCCACTTGTTTTTGTGCAACCATAGACTTTGCTGACAAACAGATTTCCCTGAACAACAACTGAATTTTGTCCTCATTTTCTCAACTACTTATATACCCTACGTATAGTACTGCTCATTACTTCCAATAACACTTTCTTAGGGTACACAAGACCATTTTGAGTACATCATCTCTTCTTGAGCCCAAACAACCTCTGCTAGAAGGTAAGAGAACTGCTTATAATACTGGCAACTGTAAAATAAAAGCACAAACCACACCTTTTAAGTGGACTAGAAGAAGAATCTGACACACTGCACTCGGAAGAACAGTTTATTCATATTCTTTATCTGCCTTCCAAAGAAGGGGAATAATTATCATAATCCAAAATTATACCACGTACAACTAACAGAAGTGCTTGGAATTTGTTGTTATTGTCTCAGTGTCTGCAATGTCAATTCAATATCATTACACTCTTTACCGTTGAACAACTTAAATCCAGACACCACCATTGCTCAGCCCATAGCAAAGACTCTTCATCCTGCAGGACCCTTGGAAGAGCCCAAAACAAACAGTTTCAGTGCCACAGTCTGGCTGGTTTCATTCAGCTATTACTATCTCATCCTGTCTTTCAACTCTAGAGAGGGGATGAGGACGAAGTGCATTACTTTGTTGTTTCTAGAAGCCATTATTTAAGTGTAAGTTGAACCTCTGATCACCCTGGGGCAACACCAAGACAGAGTTAATAGATTTACGGGGCGGGGGGGGGGGGGGATTCTTTCTAATTTTTTTTCTGTGTAAAATTGCTGTTTAGAGGAATCTCAGAAATCTGCAAAGGAAGACTTAAAACCAGTACGCCCATTACAAAAAGGACCTCAGCCCTCTTGTACCAAAGGGAAAGAAGACATGAAGAAAAAGTCAGCTGGAAAATGTTCAGAAAACGCGGCACAAAAAGCTGGGGTGAAAGGACCTGTAAGTTTAAAACAAACAAACAAGAAAAATACCCAAACATAGAACTAGAATGCAAAAAGACAGGATTACAACACTAGAAATATATATTTAAATGTAATACTGTCTTAAATGTGTATCAGGTGGATTTGGTTTGGGTTGTTTTGGGTTTTTACGGTGCTTGTTGTTTTTTCAACCCAGCATGCAAAAACTTACGGTATTTACCAGTTTAATTTGCATAAAGTGCAGATCATCATTCTAGATTTAGAATAGAACTCAGCATTCAGCCTTTGTTCCACCATAATTTCTTCATGGACAGCTCTGGCTTGAAACTTCAGCTCGGATTTTTTTCAGCTAGTAATTTTGGAGGCAAATACGATGTAAATGCTTTTATCTCACAAATACATAACATGTATACCAAAAATTAATTTTAAAATGTATTCTAAAAAAAAAAACCCCAATAATTTCAGGATTTATCAGAACTTGAAGAACAGCAGCTGAAGCAACGAGAGGACTACCTAAAGAAAAAACGAGATTTGCTGATGGCTACAAAGAAGGAGTCAAGAAATAACGTGCTGTTACCAGCAAACACTGACCAGAAGGAAGAGGAATCGCCTCCCAAAGAGGTGAGGGATTCAAATGTTTTAATCATCCTGACCGCTTTATAAAAAAAACATAGATGATTTCAGTGAAGATGTAAATATTGTTGCTGAATAATGCAGCAGGATAAAAAAAAAGGGGGGGGGGGGGGGGGGGGGAAGTTGTTTGTTTTAATGTATGTACTACTAGCATTTTGCTTTCTTCAAACTACAGCCTTCGATTACTAACATGAATGTTTAGTACTTTACTCCTTCATTGTCCTATTCGCTAGCAAAGCCCCTTGCAGAATCCTGAATTCTAGGACGTTTTATATGCACTATGATTTACCAGCACTAAGAACCTGAAAGGAAAAGCCTCAGTAACACAATTGTGAAAATAATAGGTCAAGCACCCTAAAACTGTCAAGAAATTGATGACTGGTTTGATGACTGGTTACAGTCAACTTCAGAAGTTTAAAGACTAAAGTGCATAATAAGATAATTTTAGGATTAGATTTTGGTGTTATTTTTGACCTGCGTATCTTAACAAGCTCCATAGTAATTTTATTACTCTACTAAGAGTTCAAATAAATAAGTAAACACTGCTGAAACAACTCATCTTTGAAATGGAGGTAACCAAAAGACATGCTGAAATTATCACCTGATGTTTTAAGATAAACCCAACACAGCAGCTCTCTGCTTATAGCAGACAGAACTAAGACCCCGATTTTCACCACTGTAGCCTTGTAAAAACTGCTGATAAATGCAGTTAAAAACTATCCAAAACTTAAATGTAAGACTTGATAGGAAAAGGGAAGAAAATACTCTGGCCTGTATAATGTGCCAAGACTTCAACCATACTAAATCCTGTCACTTCAAAGAGTAATTCCTTCTCATGGGGAGCTGTCTTTAACACTGGTAGCAAGGGGGACACCACGCAGGCAGGTGGAGCACTTTGCTCCAACTGCAAGGTAGAAGTGCCCTTTTTTGTTGCATTGCCCGCAGGCTGCATACTTCCAGAACTGAGGGAAAGCTCCATTTAAGCAAATGAAAAATAAAAAGTAAAGAGGACAATTTGGAAGTATATTCTAGATGACTACAGAGGAGTAACGTCCAGATTTCTTCCTAGGTTAAATTAGTCACTCAAAATAGATGCCATAATATGCCTGAGTAGCCCTAAAGTAAGCAAAACCTTGGGCTGGCTTGAAGCTGGCATTTTCTAGGTGTTACTCAAGGAAAAATAACGTTTGAATCAACTATAAAGTTCTCCTAGAATCTGTCTCAGGACAGCTGTATCTAATATGCTGGAAAAGTAAACATGACTAATCACACACTATATAGCACTCAGTTGTGTTGACACAAATAGAAATAGCAGACTGTGGTGTCCCCCCCAACATACCAACACTCAGCATCAAAGGTTTACAAATTGAGATCAGCCATTTCACATTTAGCCTTTTCACCTGTAGAACTTACAGCACTTTGCAGAAATAAGAAAATTAAAACAGGAGTATAATTTTCAACATACATACATACGTATCCCCTTCATAGACCAGACATTTAAAAAGCAGCTATATATGCTGGTTATTTTGTCCAGGTCATATTAACTATAAGGAAAAAACCAAAACCAAACAAACCAAAACCAAACTACCACACACACACAACCCAACTTTGTTAAATACTCTGTGCCATCTAAACTTTTAGGTACCCACTCTTCCTGTATGCACACATTTTTGAAGTGTCTAGTCACACAGTATGAGTCACAAGCCAGGAAACCCAAAATCTAATTTTCTCTTTTTAAAGAGTTACCTGCAGCAGTATCTTGTTTGGACTTTCCCTAATCAAGACATTTATCACCTTCATTAGCTCTGACTTAGTCGCAGTCAGGATTACCTACACAGCATAAAGCATCCCTCCTTACCTATAATGATCTTTCACTAATTTTCCGGGTACTGACTACACTAATACCCACCCATCATCTCAACCACATACAAAAAGCCGGGCGGGGTGTGAGGTGGGGACAGCACGCAGCAAGAGCTCAACTCATCCTTGCAAGTCAGTATTGTCTTACCATCACAGACATGTAAGACATTTAATACTGTTTTAAATTATATGAGCTTTATATAAAGGAGAACAACTTTAAAAAGAAAATAGTTCATATTTGTTTCAGGTAAAGTTTAGTCTAAACCAAGCATTTTTATTGCACTAAGTTTTATTCAAGCAGTTAGATGTCAACATTACAGAAAAGCATGCTTTCAGAGCCTTCCAAAACAACAGAAGGAAAATGGCCTCCTATTCCTCAAATTTAAGTTCTCCAAAAAGTACAATGTCGACACTCAGTTAAACCTCTTGACTCCCAGATGTGTAAAACACTTTAATACCACAAAGAAACTTGATAACTTCAGTAATTCAGAACATGAGAAAAATCTGCTTCAAAGGACATTCATATTCACATACAGTGGTTTTGTACTTTCAGTCTCCACAAACTACTGAAAGCTACATGCAATATTTTAAACTCTTTGAACAGTAAGTCTTATGTATAAGAAGTCTTTGAGAAAAGAGAAAGTGAACTTCTAGTCTAATTAAGAGATGTTAAGCTTGGGCCAAATTAATAGGACAGAATGTAAACTTCTCTGGAGTACCCTCTGATGTTTTGTTAAACATCTGTTTTTCCTACTTCACTTCCTGTTCCCTCTTTCTGTCCCTCCCCCAGACAGGAAATTGTCTTGACAACAAATGAATCAGCTAGAAGTGGAGCTAAGCAGCCATCAGCTGATTCCTCATTGTTGACAAGCACAGACACTTCAAAAAGCCCTGCTACTGTTTTCTTCCTAAGTGACCTTAGTTGTTCTAACTTCATTTCATTATAATCAACACTTAAACAAAACAGAACAAGCCATTTGAAGAGCTAAGTAATGATTTACTTTTTTTTTTTTAAATCTACAGACAGAAAAATCAAACCAAGGAACACCTTCCTCAAAGTAACTGAAATCATAACAATACGTATCGTAATTGTCAAGTCACAGGACCTACAAACCTCTATTTCTAGGTTCATCTTTAAAAAAAAGCCAGCCAAAGAGAAAAAGCTCTAAATAAAATCCCAAACGGCAATACAAATACATTTGCTCTTTAGAAGCCATCTGGAAAAGCAACAGTATTGTTCATGGTCTATAGCAGCCTCTATATTCTTGTAACGTGCTATTACAATGCCAACTCCACATTAGTATTACTGTGTTTTGTTTCTAAACTTCCCTCCCCTCAAGAAAACCTGACTCCCATAAACACCACAGAGATTGGGAGAAGTATTTCAAGTTTGAAATTAGTATTCAACTTAGGCAGTTTCTACAGAAACTGACCTCTTTTAGGACTGTTACAGGATTTATATTTTATCGGTTAAGTATGTTTAACAAAGTTTAAATATTCTGTAAACCAAATATTAGCCTCAATACTTTTGGGCTTCCTATCTCACATTCTAAAAAAGAATGAGAAAGTTCAGATTAGTATGATGTTTGCGATAGCATGCAAGACACTTAAAATAAACAAAAAAGAACACAGGAACTACGGTCAACCAACTCCATAGGGAAAGACTACACCACTACAATTAGTCCAACTATACAGCTCTGAAAGAGTTCAAGTGTGCCTCTTACCACAATTGCATGCGGAGAATGCACTAAGGCCTTAAGTTCATTCAGGTCGTTCTCAGCCTGCAGAAATTGGCATAAGGAAAAAAAAAAAAGGACAAAAAAAACAAACAAAAAAGTATATAAGGAGGTTGGATTTTGAATTCTCTCACAGATACTATAAATTTAAACAGTGGTTAATACAGTCCTATAAGCCCTACGTTACCTTATCCCATTCTCCTTCCATGACATGATTGCGGAATTTGGTAGCAGAAGGATGTTCTAAACGACATCCTGACTCTTGCATGAGAAGATCAACAGTCTGGCTGCAGGAGAGATACAGTGTAAAAAAACCCGACCAGTTTTACCCTCACAAATATACCGCCTGCTATGATAACAATTAACCATATTTACAAGTAACTTTATTAAAGTAAGAATACTGTGACCAGGTTCAGACACTTGTCCAAAAAGACTATCTCAGTTGCCCGAGACACGTAAACATCTACCTAAAGCTAAAGCAAGTTGTCAATGAGCTTGAAAGCTTTGCTGAAGTACCATAAAGTATGTGACTTACCAGCCACCACAAACAGCCATCCCTGCACAGAAGACAGACTTCATGAAGGAAGATACAGACTAGAAAGCTGTTAGCTACTGCCTACCATCCCCTACCCCCTCCCTCTCTCCCCTGAAACAACACAGGGAGCTACTAGATTTGCCACAGGCCTAACTTTTTCTTCTTCATCACATATTAAAAGACTGCTCCTTAAAATAAAATAAACAAACTCATGAACCTGTAGCCCTCCCCCTTTTACACTAAAAATAGCTTATTTACTGTGGTGTCGTCTATGAACAGTCACGAGTTGTCTGCTGCTGTAAACTTGCCTCTTGTGTCAGAGGCAATTTATTTTATGTACTGAGTTCTTTCTGAGTTGACCCATTCCACAGTGTGTTTTGAAGACTTCTTTTGTGGTAGCTACGTGAAGACTTTGCGAGACTTCTCTACCCTCCTTCCAAAAATCATGACATGTTGGCTTTAGCTTTACTCACAAAGCGAGCGTTGTGATTAAATTCTTAGACTTCCCCGGCTCCGCTGGGAAATTATTTTTTCCTATTCTGATTTTGAGAAAGCGCCAAGGTACTTGGTTTCTTTCTAGTCAACAGATAAGATTATTATCAAAAAACACGTGTCCAGCACCAATCTGCAGAGGCCTCCGCCGTTTACAGGGACGAAGGTTTTCGGAGTGAAACCAAACAGCCTCTTTAAGCGGCAGCTCGGTCTGGGCTCGCTTCCTCCCAGCTGACAAGCCAAATCTTGGAGCTCATCTGCAAAAAGCCAGCCCCCTCCACCTCTGTCATCGTGTGTCCCCCCCCGCCCAGCTGCGGGCTCCATTATGTTTACCAGATAAACTTCTCCCCCACTAACACATTGGTATTGATCTGCCCTTATCGGTGTGCAACTCGACTTCCATATTGCCATCCCTGGCAGGGGGAAGCTCCCGGCCTGTACACACCAAGCTGACGGCCACAGGCTTAGAAAACACATCTCCGGCTCCATTTTTATTATTTTTTATTATTTTTTATTATTTTTTTTGGTAAGCGGGCCTGCCCCCACTGCTCTGCCTCGCACCCAGGCGCTGGTCTCTCCTCACTGGGGACTACCAGGCAGCGATAGGGCAGTTTTTGCCAATCCCCCCCAAACCCCCGACCCTTCCTCAGGAGGTCCCTCGCTT